TGACACTATATTCATTTGGATGATGCTTTTATCCAAAGCAGCTAACCTGCCGTTGGGTTCGTGTCACAGTGAGCTGCAGCCCTTTCAGCTCCACAAACGCCCGGCTGTGCCCCAGTGTGGAGGTGGGGGGTTGGTGACACACACACACTTCCCGACCCCACAGCGAGGCAGGGGGCTTCAGCGGGTCGCTGACCCCAGGCATGGGGCCTGGTTTCTGGGAGAGAGGGGTCGATAGGCCTGGCTGTGTGGGGCAGAGGGTGTCAATAAGGGCAAAAGGCAGAGAAAATGTAAATTTTTATTTGCTTTAGTGTTGTATTTAACCTACTTTTACTTACTTATCACAGTTTTATCATTGCATTCTTAGTGTGTAGTCTTATCAATTTTAATGTTTTTTATTAGTTTGTCATTCAGGTTGTTGCGATAATATCTACCATCTCTAAGAATAACTCAGATATGATCTTTCTCCAAAATCGGGTTTCTATAATCCCCGGCACCGTTTGCAGAAAGTGATTTTCTTGTTCACACAATGCTTCCTGTGCAGTGTGCACAGCACAAGGTATCTTGAGTACATGCAAACGCATGAGGGGGAATGTTTTCATACATGTAGTTCATACATGTAAATACTTGTTTTGCTGATACCGATTCCAGTTTGAGAAATGCTTCTGATTCAGCCTAAAATGATGGATCGGGAATCGGTAAGTATGTGATTCTGTGCACCGACCCAATACCACGTTCTCATATCATTTATCAGCTCATTTACGCCACACAGGAACAACAACACGGTGTCACTCACTAACGGATCTGTACATCCTGACTGATCGCTGCTGAACAAGTGCAAATGAGAAAGAGTCGAGATGGCTCGATCGTTGGCTGCTTCCATCACAAGCACCTGAAATATGAATCGTATGACATCCATAGCTTAAGTAACGTAAGAAACGTACTTATCTTAAGACAAAACATCATCTTTGTTCTAACCCTTACGCAGTAGTTTTGTTGCCTAAACCAATCGTTTCACAACGTTAACCACATGTCACAACGTTAACCACATGTCACAGCGTTAACATGTTACAATGTTAACCACATGTTACAACGTTAACCACATGTTACAACGTTAACCACATGTGACAACGTTAACCACATGTGACAATGTTAACCACATGTTACAACGTTAACCACATGTCACAGCGTTAACATTTTACAATGTTAACCACATGTTACAACGTTAACCACATGTGACAACGTTAACCACATGTGACAACGTTAACCACAAGTCACAACGTTAAGCACATGTCACAACGTTAAGTACATGTCACAACGTTAAGTACATGTTACAACATTAACCACAATAGTTTCACAACATAAACCACATGTTACAACGTTAACCACATGTCACAACGTTAACCACATGTTACAATGTTAACCACATGTTACAACATTAACCACAATAGTTTCACAACGTAAACCACATGTTACAATGTTAAGCACATGTCACAACGTTAACCACATGTCACAACGTTAACCACAATAGTTTCACAACGTTAACCACATGTCACAACGTTAACCACATGTCACAACGTTAACCACATGTCACAACRTTAACCACAGGTCACAGCGTTAACCACACGTCACAACCTTAACCACATGTCACAACCTTAACCACATGTCACAACGTTAACCACATGTTACAACGTTAACCACAATAGTTTCACAATGTTAAGCACATGTCACAACGTTAAGCACATGTCACAACGTTAAGCACATGTTACAACGTTAACCACAATAGTTTCACAATGTTAAGCACATGTCACAACGTTAAGCACATGTCACAACGTTAACCACATGTCACAACGTTAACCACATGTCACAATGTTAACCACACGTCACAACGTTGACCACATGTTACAACGTTAATCACATGTCACAACGTTAATCACATGTCACAACGTTAACCACAATAGTTAACGTGGTTACAACGTTACCCACAATAGTTTCACAATGTTAAGCACATGTCACAACGTTAAGCACATGTCACAACGTTAAGCACATGTCACAACGTTAACCACATGTCACAACGTTAACCACACGTCACAACGTTAACCACACGTTACAACGTTAATCACATGTCACAACGTTAACCACACGTCACAACGTTAACCACACGTTACAACGTTAACCACACGTCACAACGTTAACCACATGTCACAACGTTAACCACATGTCACAACTTTAAGCACATGTTACAACGTTAACCACATGTCACAACGTTAACCACATGTCACGTTAACCACACGTCACAGCGTTAACCACACGTCACAACGTTAACCACATGTTACAACGTTAACCACATGTCACAACGTTAACCACATGTCACGTTAACCACACGTCACAGCGTTAACCACACGTCACAACGTTAACCACATGTTACAACGTTAACCACAATAGTTTCACAACGTTAAATACTTGTTACCACATTAATCGTGACAGTTTCAGACTTTTAACCACATGTTAAGACGTTAACCAAAACCGTTTCATGAAGTTAACTGCAACAGTTTCACAATTTAACAATGCTGACTGTGACCGTTTCACAATGCTAACTGCGACAGTACAAGCTCTTTTGGCATTTTATATCATTTCATGCTTTGAGGCCTAATGCAAATAAATTAATACACATATTCACGATGAACATATTAGTTGTATATTTTATCAGAATATATTGTTTGTTCAGATTTTTTTCCCTTTCAACTTTCAAAAAGTCTCAAAATAAATTCTAAACTACTGTTTCGATTCATTAACCAGCTTATTTCTGTGTTGCCACCTATTGTTGATGAATTCCAATGTTTTTTGCCAATATTAATATCATACTTCCATTCATGCCAATAAAGCATATTGATCTGATTAGAGCGAGAGAGAGAAGCAGACTGGAGTGCGTAATGGGGAAGCATTGATTATGGCTGTTAACTCTGGCTCTTTGATGTGGATAATGCAGTCTCTCTCTTCCTGCCTCTGCACTGGCTTTACACTCTAAAACCCCCGGGCCTCAGAGGATATTGGGTTTACAGAGAGGGAGAGGATACGTCAGACTTGGTGCATAAGCTTGAATGTGACAGACAGAAGTTGTAGAGAGAGCGTGTGGTTGTGTGAGAGATTAAATGTTCAAAAAGATACAAAAAAGGATGTGTACGTGCAAAATGAAAAGAGTTTATGTCTGTGAAAGAAAAAGGTTCATGAGAGAAAGTTGTTTCAACAAAATGCACACAGAAAAAATAGGATACTTGTCCATCGGGAGCAGAAGAGGAAGTATTTAGTGCAGAGCCAAAAGGTCTGCAGAGAGGTCAGGATGGATGTTGGACTTTGTCACAGATTGTTTCTGTTTGTGTCCTGTTTCTTACTGACACTCATCGTTGTTTTCTTCTAACCATGACCATAATTCTCCATCTTTGTTTTTTGCAGCCGGTGAACAGGAAGTGGCCATATATGGACTGAGGAGGAGTTTACTGAGGTAATAAATCAAGAGAGAAGTAGAGTCATTTTCTCATAGACTTCTATACAATCAGAGGAGTCGCCCCCTGGTGGACACTAGAGAGAATGCAGCTTTAACACGCGAAGCATCGGCTTCACTAGTCAGAACCGGATGTTGCCGCTGGTTCCAGACACACAACAGGCATGTTTCCATCCATATAGTTCTGATGAATCCACTGTAACGAGCTGCCCAGCACCACACAGCAGACACTTTATATGTTGTTTACCCTTTCAAATAGTTTTCTGCAATCCTCAAAGGTCACCTTTTTGTTATCCTCTGCAAACAAGTTCCAGAAATATCCTGTAGGGTTTTAATCTCCCGTGTCGTCTTTCAATCTCAAATCAGATGAGTTAGTTCGATCATGGCCACTAATTATTGATAGTCTGGTCACTACAGTGTCTCTGTGTGATCTGTTACTTCCTGGGTCTGGCTGCAGAGCCCAGTGATGGTTTGAGAACAGACACTGGAGTCAAAATGGTTGACGAGCAGCCAACTGAGCCGAGCCCTACAGAGCTGCCATGACCTCATTCTCCATCTCGCTCTGCTCCATCAGCTCCGCTCGTCCAGCTGCTGAGGAGAGCCGGCTCCCTCTGCTGGACACTCTCACAATTACAACTTCATCCAGGGTCCCATGAACATCAAAACTACTTAATGCGATGCACTCGCTTATCACCAGATGCATGCTGGGATTGACTACCGCGGCCGATGGACACTTGAAGGAAAAACATGAGGGGAGAAAAGTGCATGTGACTTCTGAAAGACCATGTTTTCGTTAAACAATCGCCAAAACTGGATGTGAAAAACCCTCATTATCGTCAGATTATCAGCTTTCCAACGGCCCATGAACACATCATGTGTGACAAAGGCTTCCATCAGAAAAAGCAACAATAACAAAGTTTAAAATTGTGATATTTCATCAAAAACATTGTTCTTCATCTCTCTTTTAAAATCTAGCCCTGAAAAGAACCTTCGGCTTTAACCAGATTCTGTAAAAAACATTGAATTCTGAGTTCCTCAGCGAAGCCATGATTGATTCATCTGAGATCAACAGTCTGTGAATCTTGGACTAACCTGCAGGCTGCTAAATTCATACAGCAAATGGAAAGATGTGCTTCAAATCTCATTTTAACATAAATAGGAAATAAAGACAGAAAACAAGATCCATACATTAAGACAAGTGAAGGAGGACGAGTCTAAAACTAAGAGACAATGATGAGAAAATTGTGTGCTTATTTCTTTCTTAATTATTGTATGCACCGTGTGTAATATATTATTTTAAATGCCCATCCAATAAACTCATATTTGTTTGTTTGTTTGTTTTTTCACTGTTCTGATATTGTAAAAACTGTCATAATTAAAAAAGTAAAGGAGGGAAGTTAAGTACGTTTTCTTTTTATAATTTGACATATTCTTTAACATGACCGTATTGACCGTATTGACTGTGTGATTGTGCAGTTAACAGAACACAAAACAAGTGCACTTTTGCATAGAAACATTAGTGATTTTAATCACAATCTATCACAGCTGGACATTAGTCAGGACCGAGGCCCAGGTCCTCTTCAACTGGAAAAATAAAACAGTTTGCATACAAAAATAGACACATCTATGGGCAGATTAGCTGCAGCCAAGTTCATTTAGCTCTGCGTACAAGTTATTCTCAGCCAGCAGGATTTGGTCTCCTCAGAGATTATACAGACAGCAAGCAAATTCTTTAGGCAACCGTTGCTGCCAAAACTGTTTGACAATGTTGATAGTTGCCAGATTTGGACCACCTGACCAGATGATGATGATGATGATATTCTGTCAAACAGTGACGAAGGCCCAACGTTAGCTTGCTAACAAGCTTATGCACTTGAGGTCCTGTGATAGTTGATACATTTTTACAGGCTTTCTACAGAAATTCAGCTCAGTGTCCACCGGGCAGCGCGTTTCTGTCGGCAGTGTCGGTCACATGTTTGGAGGGAAATGTTCAGTAAGTATTTTACTTTAACTGGTGCTGCAGTGCATGTGTAAAGACAATCTGCACGGCACCCGTTGTCTTTCTTTCTGAGCGGTTCTTACGTTTTTGAGCAGCCGTTTGGAGCAATAGAAATGCTGCGTGTGTTCGTGGCTTCACCAAACGTTGTCCCTGTTGTTTGTGTCAGTTACACGTGGTTGTCTCCGTCCTGGACATCTGCAGCTATCGTAAAACGAGGGTAAAGCTGGTTTGGGAGACGGATCACAGCTAGACGCTCGGGGGAGGTGTAAACATTGTTTTGGTCTTAGAGGAGCGATTCGTTTCAGAGTTGTGGTTTGTGCCGTCGAGCACCTTAAGGACGAGCACCCAGTGGACACAAAGCCGTCAAACATGCTTCGTTTATGTAAAAAGCCTAAACAGAAAAAAACCTCAAAAAACAGTTAACAAAATATTGTGCTTTACCATTTTCTTCCACCATCATCAAACCCCATAAAATCATGCTCCACGTCCACCCACCACGATGCATCACCGCCATGGATGTCCTTCCCCTCTCAGGGATGTGAGACATCGCTCAGTTGTACACAAACACATCTACAGCTACGTGTGAACAGCAAATACCCATCCTACCAATACCTCCGGGCCGAAGACATACCAGCATCAAAATACAACAAAACCCAGTGGAGAGATAAAAAACTACCGTTTAGCACAAAACAAAACCCCAAACAAGAACATTGTTTCAAAATGTTTGTTAAAGCAGGAGGGCTGCTCGACAGTCACACAGGAGAAGACTGAGCGTGCCCATCTTACAATAGTTATATATATATATAAATATACATATTTACATGCAGGGTAAACTTCCTCACATTGTGGGCTAGCATGGCTGTGGTGCTTTAAGGAGGATCTCCTGCTACTGAGGCGGCGTTCTTTTGGTAACTTGGACATCAGCACTTTGTCTTCATCTCAGGGAGCCCCGTAGTGAGGACGTGTAAACGCAAGAGCCCCGAACAAGAGATCAACTGATGATGAAACCAGACAACAAATGTTTCAGGTTTCTCTTCCTTCTGACCACAAGTTCTTCACAGTGAGGCATTGATCGGATAAGATCAGATAAAACAAGTGTTCTTAACTAACGCTGAGTCACGTAACAAGCAGAGTTATTTTAACTCAAATAACCGTGTTTTCCTAAACCTTACCACCAAGTTGTGTTGCTTAAACCTAAAGTACTTTTGTTGCCTAAACCTAACCAATTAGTTTGTTGCCTAAACTTAATAAGTTGTTTAGTTGCCTAAACCTTAATAAGTAACTTTGATGCCTAAAGCTGAAGTTGTTTTGTTTGTTTCAACACAACGTTAAATTTGACTTGTGTTAGAGAAGCGTAAACTTGTATTTAAAAACAACCTTGTACACATTCTGTATTCTATTATTTTTCACATGATATTTAGTTTCTACTGCAGCAGCCAGTTTGGGACAAAAGACACTTGGTTATTTGTGACGTTCGTTGAGATGTTTTCAACCTCAAACCTTTACTTACAGGGCCGGTGGGTAGACTCTGGAGCTATCTAGTGGTGCGGTTGCTTATTGCAGCTAACTGAGACCTCTCCATTGTGCCAAGCGAATTCCGGTGGCCGATGTGAAAACATGAATGTCCCTCTTGAGAGGCAGTGTTTTGGTTTGTCCCTTCTGGGCTACTGTAGAAACGTAAGAGGACCCACTCACTTAAACTTTAAACTTAAAAACTTTAAATTAAAACACTTTTTATTTTTATTTAAAAGAATATCTCCACATGTAGATACAACTCGCTCACTCTAAGGTTACAAAAACACAACAATTCTTATTTTCAGACTAAAATAAACTTACTTAATAACTTTATATTCCATTTCTGCCGATAGTTCCCTCTCAACGCGACACACTGGCCCTTCAGTCAAGCAGCGTCATGAAGGTGAGAAAGGACAAGAGGTGTCCGCCCCTAAAGCATCTCAGCTCAGATTTCTGCACAAAACTTCTATAACCTCGCCCAGTTCTCAGTTGTCATGATTGCTGCCACCTTAATCCACTGCACAACCACCTGGCTCCAGCATTGATGAGGTCTTTAACTATTTGTTTTCATGTCATAAAAAGCCCAAATAAAAAGCAGTCACCAGCCCAATTTGGTCAAACCAAAAAGACAAATTTAAGGGGGGGTTTACCCACCACCAACCCTGGGAGCCCTGAAGATGGGGGGGGGAGGAGCCGGCTGACGTCTGGGTCTACTCATCGTTCAATCATTCCTGTCGGAGAGAAGCAGTGTGTCTTTAAGGGTTGTAATGACTTCCTGTTTCAAAAATAAACAAAACACAGGTACAGTTGTTACGTTTTTCTACACGTTTAGTTCAAACGTTTAAAAAGGACAGAAGACAGACCAGTTTCCACCATTTGACCAAAAGAAGCTACACGATACATAAAAGCAAGACAGAGAATTAACAAGAAAAGTGCCGAGAAAACAAAAACTTCTGTCCAAAAACTTTGACTGTTTTTTGTGTATTTTTCTCCTCGTTCTTCTTCTCTGAGTTTGTGTTATCTTTGAGCTCTTTACACAGACTCATAGATTGTGTATATATATATATATATATATATATATATATATATGTATATGTATGTATGTATGTGGTGGTTGAAACCCTCTGGCTCTCTCCTTTCTTTATGTCGGTGTTGAATGTGGTGACGGTTGGTCTGTTGTATCAGTCAGCACGGACCGAATTTAGCACGATGCCTCGATGCCAGCAGCTTCCTCAGAATCAGTCTGCTCATCATCATCATCATCATCATCATCATCACAAACTGTTAATGCTTTCAGGATGATTTCTTTCTTTCTAAGAAGCTTTGAAAAGATTTTAAGTGATGTTCTAGTTTGATTCTTTCTGGAGAAACTCTGACAATTAAATCAACATATCAATTAGTCGACAAAATCCTACGAGTGTTTGTCGAAAAACTAATAATGTCTTTGGTCGAGGACAGCCTTATTTAAAACCCTGAAAACAAAATCCCCTCAATGACAAACAGTGTTTTAGAAGAGTTTAGAACAGACACACTTCTGATTTATTACTTTAATAAATCCACCGTGCATCTGAGGTTTTTCACGCTTCAAGTCTATTTTTGACGTGTTTAGTGAAGCGTGATCTGCAGACAGATGTTTAAATCACACGAATGTTCTGCTTTATATGCGTTTTGAACTTATTAACTGTATCCATAATGATTGATCGCTACGGCGGGCGGCAAAATAAAATCAATTAGTAAATCGATTGTTTCTTCCCACGGAGCCGACATAAAGAAGTGTTTTGGTTCAGTAAATATCTGCTGTTTCACTTCAAACTTTATTCGTAAGGAGGAGTCGCCCTTGAGTCCAGAGATTTTAACAAAACTCTGTTTCTACCTGTTCATTTCCTGACCACCTCTGCAGTTCTCTTGATGACGATGGTGTTGGCTTTTTTGACGGGCGAGGTGTTGACGTAGTCCTCGCCCAGCAGACCAAGGAGCGGGTACCTGTTCCTGTAGCTGCACACACACACACACACACACACACACACAGATGTGTTCAGGTATGGTTTGGTGGATGATTAGCATTAGCAAGATTTGATATGCTAATAAAGACAATTCAATCTAAATCTCTGTCCGCGTGTCCTTCACATATCTCGCGAAGCGTTGATCTGATCTACTTCACACTCGGTGGGCGCTTTGCTGGCGACCCCGTGGAGTGCCGTGTCGAATTTGACGTGCGACGTGTTCAAAATGAATAAGCTCTGACTGAAGAAGCGGACGGCGCTCTGTGTAGCAGCAGCGGGGTTTCTGTCGTTTCAGCTCTCTGGTGTCAATAAAGTTTTCGTATCGTTCTCGGAGGTGTCGTACCTGTTGGTGATGATGGTTTTGGTGACTTGGCTCTTGGAGCTTTCGGTCTTCGCCTGCATCAGCTTCCTGATCTCCTGAGGGCCACAAGAGGTCAGAGGTCAGCACAGTCGGTTTGTTTCTGACCGATCATCATTCATGAAGTTCACTAAAACAATATATCTGAATAAAAGTTTAACTTATCAGATTTGCTGTCTTGTTCATTTATTTTTTTTCATCAAATTGTAACAAATTTCAATCTTGGTTATTTTATTCTAAAGTTTAAGTTTCATCTCGACAACATTTGACATTTCAGAATTACGGCTTCTATTGTCAAACAGAAGAAAAAGTGTGTGTGTGTGTGTGTGTGTGTGTGTGTGTGCGTGTGTGTGTGTGTGTGTGAGAAACTACAAAAACAGGTGTCCCTGAGGTGACACAAGCATTCCCGAGGTTAAATCAACCGACAGCCGGCTTCAACTGGTGTCACACGAAAAAAACAATCGAGTTGAGAATGCAGCTCGACCTGAAAGGTGAAAAATATGGTGAAAAATAATCGAATCAGCTCACAAGCCTGGAGGGTGTGTGTGTGTGTGTGTGTGTGTGTGTGTGTGTTTATATGTAAACAGATCATTTTAAGATGTTTGCAAATATAAAACACAAAATAAATGTTTGGCTCATATTTCGTTAAAAATTAAGCTTTTTTTTAAATAAACAACAACTCATGAATCTGTTAAATGTGTCCACTCGGCTGGTTTGGTCTCATTTGAGCTACAGACCTCCTCCTGTTTGGTGATGGTCCTCTTCCCCTGCTCCAGCATCATGAGCAGCTCTGAGATTCTCAGCTGGAGACTGTTATCCGAGGACGACTTCTCGCTGGTGGAGGTGGTGACCTCCGTCTGGATCCTCGTTATCTGGCTCTGGAGGGAGGACGCACAGAGACAGACGAGTCAAAAGAGAGATCTTTGTATGTTCAGTGGAGTATATATGTATATATATATATATATATATGTATAAAATGTTATACGACTCTTTTCCAGTACGACATGCATAATCCACCAAACATTTTCAGCTATTTCAACAAGTAAAAACACTGCAATAAGACAAGCTATACTCCTACAATCTAACGTAGTTAAGTGGCAGCCATGATTAGAGCTGGTCGAACTCTCTAAATGTTTAGAAAAGGTTCCTTGAATGCTTCCTTTCTTATCTCCTTTCACATATAAGGAGCACTGGACCAACCTTTACCAAAGGAGAGGAGATAAAGTCGTCCCACAATTCCTTGCACCAGTCGGCCTTCAATAAAATTGCCGTCAAACTTCAATTTGAACACTGCGGATGGGTTGAAAACATGAGGGAACGTTTTGGATTGTTTATAAATATTTGTTCAGGTTTTTTCTTCCTGAAGTATTGAAGAAGACTTGAAACTAGAGACTGAGACCATAAACTCATGTTTACAATGTTTACTGAGGTAATAAATCAAGAGAGAAGTAGAGTCATTTTCTCATAGACTTCTATACAATCAGAGGAGTCGCCCCCTGGTGGACACTACAGAGAATGCAGCTTTAACACATGAAGCATTGGCTTCACTTTACAGAAGGTTACCTCCTGACTATTCGTCTAAAGCAGAGTGCGATGTTGTTGCAGTTCAAGTGTTGCACAAATAAAAACGTCCTCATGATGGCGCTGGATGAATTTCCAAATTGGACATGAACGTCTGGATGCAGTAGTTTGATTCTCACCCTCAGCCTCTGTATCTCCTGGTCCTTCTCATTTTTCATGGTGCTGAGCTGGTCTTTGTACTGACGGGACAACTCCTCGGTCTTCAGGTGCAGCGTGGTGCTGCTGCCTTGGCCGGCCAGCTGCAGGACAGACGGACAAGGAGGGAAGGAAGGAAGGAAGGAAGGAGGGAAGGAGGGAAGTCATCAATGTTGCAGAGTAAACATTTTCTGCCTCGTTATTTTTTTTTAGCTCCTCACTAAGTGTCTCAAATGGTGTTTTTTATTGTCTAATGTCATATAATTATTATCATTATCACTATTAATAATAATAATACTTTCCCACCCCATTTACATCAATGAGAAAAGACTTAATATTAGTCTCAATACTCTGAGACATTAAGTATTTCTTTGTTTTTAATATAAAGAAATACTTCAGCATCACGTTCAGATTCCAGCTACACATAGATATTAGAATATATTTAAATATCCGTCTAGTTGTGATGCCAAACAGGAGGAATCATCTCCATTAAAGAAACCACTTTGGAACATGGAATCAAGTGTCTCTGAACGCTGCCAGACAAGACTCCCCGTCCACCGGTTACAGTTGCGACGCAATCATCAAATTGATCTGCTGTCGATAACTGATCACCTTCTGCCGGAGCATGTCGTTCTCCTTCTCCATCGCTCTCATCCTCCCCTCCATCTCTTTCAGCTTGAAGTCTCGGCTGGAGTCGTTGTTCTTGGAGCCCATGAGCTGGCTCTCCAGGGAGCGCTGAGTGGTGCTGGTTTCCTTCAGAGACGCCTGCAGAGGGACGACACACACAAACACACACACAGGAAGTCAGAAGCACACACACACACACACACACATAATGTCGTCAGATGTTCTACTGACGAATTTTTGAAATTCACACAATGAACTCCAAAATGTATTATCCAACCAAGAGCTTTTTCTTTTTCTTTTTCCACTCAGCGCTTTGAGCACCGTACCTGCAGCTGTCGGTTGTTTTCTCGGACGGTTCCCAGCAGGAGGTCGTACTGCTGAGCCTGGTCAGCTTTGAAGCTCAGATCTCTCTCCAGAGACTCCTTCTCACTCTCCAGACGCTGAGACAACACACAGACACACACATGTTGTCTATAAGCGGCTCAATCACATATCGCGTTTTCTGATTTCGTTTCTAATTTTGTCAATTGTTTAAATTAGGCACCGGTGCCAGAATTACTTCTTATTGGCAAACCTATTTTGCTTATTACAAGCAAAAACAGCTTGAATTCATTGTTTTTTTCATAGTTTTTTGAGTGGCCTTGTGTATTATTTCCTCCTGGAAGTTGCATCCCTCAGATAAGATATCACGTTCACGACAATGGACCAGAAACTGCTGAAAACCAGCCAATTAATAAACTCCAGGCGGCCTCGACTCGTCTAGAAACAGTTGTGGCCGCTGGAGACGGAGACGGACGACGGACGCTCGGAGAAATCACCTGTGGTTGAAGCCGCGTTTGAAACAGAAACAAATTCAGTAAATAGCGATGATGTACAGAGAGAAAAAACAAGGTCACTATAATAGTTTTTCCACTGTAATTGTTCCTGTTGAGGAATGCAAGCTCACAATGAAAGTGACTCCACCACTCTGCATTACCCTGGCAGTAATAAGCCGTTATTATCTGCAGTGACGCCTGCATTTAAACCCATTTAATTAGTTTGCACGACTGTGACAAGCTCACATAATGCTCGAGTTGCAGGGACACGCTGTTCTCACGTCAGGCAAACTGCTGCAACTAATCCATCATGCGCACGCTCTATTTATTCACCTCACCAACCGCCTGTCGCATGTCGACTTCAAGTCCAGGAGGAGTTTTCCAAATTTGAGTTACGTTGACAAAACTAGAAAGTGGCTTTTGTTTTTACCCGCAGGTCCTCAGACATGTGGAGGAGCTCCTCTCTCAGACTGCTGAAGGTGGACAGCAGCAGACGCATGCTCTTATCTGCAGTGAGACGAGTCTGACACACACACACAAACACACAAAGATCAATTGTTATTGTCTTATTGTCAGTAATCAACTCGGGAAGTTTCATGGTCTTTTAAAAATGTCAACGCTCGCTCACCTGCAGCAGGTAGCGGATTTGTTGTTTGGTCAGTTCAGTGGCTCCTTTGGGCAGCAAAGCCTCCACCTCCTCTTTCTCCACCTGAACACACACACACACACACACACACACACACACACACACACACACACACATAGATACAATAGAAACAATTGAAAAACTTCAGCCGCTTGGAAAATAAAAAATTGACAAAATCCTCACTTTTATTTTGTTTCCACAAATGTAATTATACTTAATAAACTTGAACTTTTTTTTAAATATCTGATGTTTAAACTGAAGCTTGCTGAATGTTTTACATCGTCCTGTTAAATACAACCTCTGTTTTGTTTCGGGCTCTAAGTCGACAGATCTGAACTCTGGTCTGATTTATTTATCAGATGTGTGTGACGCAGGTTTGTTTCTCACCTTGTAGTCATTGGATGGATCCAGCTGGTGTTTCCTGTAACACAAAGAAGAGGAAAGACACACAATGAGGACGACAGCGTGACGATGTGTGTGTTCTTGTACAGCTATCTTTGTAAGGACCAGTTAAATATTAGACCTTCAGAGTGAGGACATCTTGGGAAAGTGAGGATATTTTGGTCGGTCCTCACTTTTTGACAGACCTTCAAAGGCTTGTCTGACGGTTCAAACCAATCGGCAACCTCTGGTGCTGGAAAACGTGCAGGGAGATAGAAAGACAGTGCAGAAACCTGCAGTTCCTCAAATGGCCACTAGAGGCTGGCTCCAAATGCGAGTGAATCCCCATAGACCTGTTCAGCAGCCTGCAGTTCAGTCCAAGTTTCACAGAATGTTTGTCATGTGAATGTTGGTCTCAGAGGAATCAATCATGGCTTCCTAGTTGAGCTAAAGACCTCAGAATTTTATGTTTTTTACAGAATCTGTGAGGGAAGCGTTCGTCACACATGATGTGTTCGAAATCAATGTAGCTTTAATAAACGGTGTAGTTTTAGCAATTGTTTAAAGAAAACATGCTTTTCCATCCTGCTAGCAAAATCTATAATTTAATAGTAAACATTTTATGTCTAACAATGTAGCTCGATATCTACACCTCAGGTTTCAGTTTGGTAACATCCAAGCCGATTGTTGGTGCTTTAAAACCGCTTCTCACATACATGTATATATATACACACACACAGTATATATATAGATACTGTATTGATTTATTGACTAGCTTTGCAGTCATCTTGATTTAGTTTATTTATTCTCAGAGCCGAAGAACGCTGCACAATAAAACCCTGTAATGTTAAACTTCCTCCGCTGGTGTCTGTGATTCAGAGTGATGCATTCATGTGCAGGCGTACAGAGTGGGGAAAAAAAGACCTCCCTCAGCAGAGGCCAGCTTGTAAACCCTGCATGATGTCTATAAAAGTTATGTTCCAATTTTAAAAAATGGCACCCCGCTGTGGACCGATGAGTCATACTTACTGTCCACGGATCTTGGACACGTGCTCGGAGATGCAGGAGTGGATGTCGCAGTTCTTCCTGTAGACCTCGGCCAGCAGCTCACCGAAGTAGCGCGTGTCCATCTTGGTCGGCTGCGGAGTCTCCCTCAGCTCGGTCCTCAGCTCGGTCCTCACCTCCGACCTGGAGATCTTCTCGATCGCCGGCTGCTGCTTGTGCTGAATGACGTCGATAATCTCCACCATCTCCTCTTCCTCCTCTTCCTCCTCTTCTTCCTCTTCTTCCTCTTCTTCCTCCTGGAGGAACAGGTCAGAGACAGATATTTAGCCACCGTGTGTTTACGTCTGCTGTACGAGAAGAGTTAGTACTGTTTGCTGTCATGTTTTGATCCTTGTGAACTTCACCCAACAGTGTCGTGAAAGACGTAGACGATCACCAGTGAGTGACGTATTAACAGATTAGGTCATGCTGGTTATAACCTACTGTTACTGGTCGTAATGGTGCACAAGGCGTGAATGTGTTTGCTCTCAAATTTACAGATATCAGACGATCAAGGACTTATCATACAATGTGATGTTTCATCATTAGTATGCTGCTGTGCTGATTGGTCGACTAGTCAGGAGCGCAGCCTGTGATTGGTCGACTCGTCTACTCAGTCAGGTACTTTTTGTGAGGTAAAATAATACAAAGCAGTTATAAGAACGTCACTGAAACAGACAAAACATAAAAGAAATACTTCAAATAATCATTTGTTTATCGATTAAACTTCTGCATTAAAACAGAACCTTTTTGTTGTTGTTTTGTCTCAAACGCGGAGTGATACTGAAAGTGCAAATGAATTAAGACGTCGCAGCAGTGGTTGGTGGATATTGTATCAGGGCTGTGAACCAATCAGATTGCAGATTTATTCCTACCTGGTATATAGATATGTTGTTGGTCATTGTTGCTTTTTATAGTTATACGCCTATTTTATGCACAGTTAGGTGTATATTTATGAATATTTTTTTATCTTTGCTCAACTTTGTCCGTGTTCTTCGCTGTAAGTCTATTTTTATTGGAACTGTGTCACATTGAGAGCAACTTTAGTCAAATTCATTTTAAACATACTTCGCCAAAAAAGCTGATTCTGATAACATTGAAATGTTAGAACGAAGTCTGTGGACACGCATGAGTGACAATTAAAGATAATTATTTCAAATGAATCTGCTGCTATAACAGCCTCCATTCTTCTGAGCAGACCAGATGTTGGAGCCCGATAGATTAACCCAATTAAATGATATGAATATTACTGGTTTGTGCAACTTTAAAGCTTGTACAGAAGCAATAAAGTCGGCCATAAATATGAGAAATGAGTTTACAGATAGTTACAAACCCTCCTCATCATTGTGGAGGTTGGTTCCTCCCTGCATGCACAAGTATCAACGAAGCTTAATGTTGGGCCAATGAGAGGCCCGGCTCACAGCAGTGTCCACATACTTGTGGCCGTACGGCATACGTTGATAACGCTGCACACACACATGATCTCAAACACACACATCACCTGCTTTTATCTACATGTGGCAACAGAGTGGAGTTGTATTTATCTAACGTGTGAACTCTCTCTCTCTGCAAACATTTGTCTGACACGCTCATGTACAATGTCTGCCTTGTCTTGTTTGCTTCTATCTGTAGTTCCTGTGAAGCCCTTTGGGACTCAACCGACTGTTAAAAAGCACTTTAAGAATAATGTCCTTCGGTCCTCAGTGGGATTAAATCTTAAGGATACAATTTATAACCAACAGTGCAGCTGTTCTTCCTGCAACTGCTCCGATGGCTGCAGGTGTGCACGGGGCCCTCGTCCCTACCTGTCCTTCAAAATGCATTACATCATCTTTTTAACGAGCGTACATCTACAGCTGTGACAAAACCTCACACTTGAACTCCACAGCAGATTTCAGCCTCCTGCTCTTGTTAAAGGGTGAGCTTCTGACTGCAATGAGGCCTTTGTGGTGAATTATGAAAGAGGGTGGGGCTTCTGTATAGGGGGCGTGGCTAATCCACATAAATTAAATTGGAACTCTGTGCCGAGTGCAATGAGTCAACGCCTCACAATTCGTTTGGCCATGAATCTCTAGAAGTCATTCATCTTTTTGTTACGAGCCACTTTAAACAGCACACCTTCACACACACCTTCACACACACACACACACACACACACACACACTTGACCTCCATGCCAAAACAAGGCGTTACTGTAACAAGTCCTGCAGGCTCAACGCTAAATTAAGAGATTAGCTGCCTGCAATATTATTAGAACATTCTTATTTTCATACAAACACTTTTATGGGAGTTCATTTTTGACATTCTAGATGTTTCTGACACTTAAATTTCAATGCACATTGTATTTTATAACATCCCATAATGTCCTCTGCCTCTCGGAAAGCCAATAAGCTCAACAGCTGCTAATGGATTTAGCCGGTTAGCTCCTCACTCTGTTTGCAGCACTTTGACTTTCCAAAGTAAAAGCCTGTTTTATTTAGTTTCAGACTCTTGTTTTTGTCACGAGTACATTCACAAAGTGAGGAACGGACATGTTTAAAATGTATAGTGAACAACAACACAGAGGCTCCGTAGTCCTGCATTAGTGACACATTTCAGATGTTGCTCTACAAAAATCCTTTCTTCTTATACTCTCTTTCATCTTAGAATGAAAGAGGAGATTTATACTGAATAGATTAGTTACACTCATTTGGAAACATCAGGTAAGAAATAAATGGAGGGATTTGTACTATTTCTTTCTTTCACATGTCTTAACACTGAACATTTCGTCTGATGTCACTCCTTATTGAATATCCAAACCGTGGCTTTGCAAAGCGGTCCAGCCAGATTCCACAGGAGCCCAGGGGACCGTTAAGACCCAGACAGGTAAAGTTATTGTGCCATTGGAGAGCCACCAAAACCTGCATGGAGCCTGCAGCGCTTCAATATCAGGTTCAGTTTCTGTTGACATGTTTGTTGGTTGTATTGGATTGTTTCTTAGCATGCAGGGGAGCAGAATATTAGAAACAACTCTCAAGGTATTTGGAAGCTTCTGATTTAGAGGATTCAGAGGAAAAGAAACAGTCCAGATGCTAAAGTTCTCCGTCTCTGTTGTTTTAAAGTGTGGCCCTTCCTGTAGACCACACCCACGCAGCAGAAACATAACAATAATGTTACCAGGAAATTCTAGTATTGTTTCCATTAAAAAAATAAATAAAAAATCAAGAAATTACCCAGAAGGGAAGAACAACATAGGAAGTGAGGTGGAAAGATCGCAGGTTTGATTCCAATGCTGAACTCCGCTGAGTTACTGTGAAACCAGGAACCAGGACTCTGTCATGTGTTGTTCAGGCCAAACCGCAGCGCAAATATGTAGAACTGTTGTTTTATTGGACTTTGTGCCTTGAACGAAAAAGATTGTCAGCAGTCACTCTTCCAAAAACCTGATTCAATGCCGCTCAAAGGCGGTGATGTTTGGACCCAATTCAACTAGAGAAGTGCAGCAGATCTCCTCCAGGGTTGAGAGTCCAATCACTTGCACTTTTTCATTTTCATGAAGTGCAAACTCTCTCTAGCGTAAAAACAAACTTAACCGTGACTAAATGTATATATGTCTCAATGAATCACACACCTGAGGAGTTATTCTCCTCGGAGCAGGTCTCCCGTTGTTTGAATCAGGGCGGGGCACGAAAGTTAAGTAACACATAACTCTGGAGTCCGACAGTGAGAGGTTGTAAATTCAAAAAACCCGCCTGACGGAGCTCAAAGCTCACCGCAGGACCAAAGGTTGGTACTTCTAGTCCTGTTACTACCCGTGCTTCTGCCGTTGGATTTGTAAATGCAAACAAGCGTGCGACGGGGAGGAGCGTGTCCGAACGTGATCACATGGCGGAGGGTGTGGCTGCTACGGCAACATGCCCGTCATTCCTGCAGAGCTAAAGTAGAGCGAGGAGACGACAAAACAGAACAATCGGCTCGTTATCAGCAGACAGGTTGGCAGATGTCCGTCCTCACCGTGAGACGCTGCTCAGTTCACTGACTTATCTTTTCTGAACTGTATTTGAAGCAGGAATGAGGGTAATCCTTTCTTTCTTTCCAATTTTTCTTGCCATAAAATTCTCTAATAACTCTTATTATCCTCCATGTTCCTGTGGAAGTTGTTCAGGTAACAAAAGAAACCAACAACTTGGCAACACTACCTGGGACAGTGTTTCACCAGTAAAACCACACCCTTCATTCACACAGCGGAGGCTGAGTATTTGTCAGTTATTTAATTAGAACCAGCAGGAATGTGGGAGAGTTCAAGTTTAGCCCGTGGGTGATACAACAATCCTCTCTTTAACTATCCACACAATATTCCTGGCAATCTGGCACGTACACCACTTTTCCAACACAATTAGTGTGTAGATGTGGGATTTTTTAAACACGAGAAAAGCTGTTACAAATAGACTCCATCTCATTGCCGGTAGACGACTCATGCCTTTCTGCTTTTATTCTGGAGTTTGACATCACGAACGCACCGAAAAACAAAGTTTAGTAACGAGATAAAATGCTACAATATCTCCATCTTTTTTTTTCTCTCTTTCAAACTCGTTGCCGACTAATTTGGAACAATGTTCAAGCGCCGCTCGGACTGAGAGACGGACAAAAACGTGTGGCCGAGATGACAAAGAGTCGCAGACGTTGTACCTACGGAAATCCTCAGATATCCCACGAAATGATTTTGTTTGTAATCAACGTAATCATGAACGAGGAAGTATGAGCACACACATTGGAGATGGATGGGTCCAACAAACACGCACATAAGTACTTCAGTACGGCACTTCTGTAGTTATTTCAACCCAAACAACCATCTTTTTCTGAACCTAACTAAGTTGTTTTGTTGCCTAAACTTAACTAAGTTGTTTTGTTGCCTAAACCTAAGTTGTTTTGTTGCCTAAACTTCACTAAGTTGTTTTGTTGCCTAAACCTAACTAAGTTGTTTTGTTGCCTAAACTTAACTAAGTTGTTTTGTTGCCTAAACTTCACTAAGTAGTTTCCTGTGAAGATGGAAGTTTATTCTGAAAAGACTGTGTTCATGTAACGAGCAGAAATTGACATGTGTTGCCGGACTTTCGTAGGAAAACGCACAAAGAAACGAGGCGAAACTTTGCGCATTGTACCAGGAAAGAGGTCAAATTTAGCGTCTCCATCCGGGTGTCATGTTTCCATCACTGCACATAAATTCCTTTGACTACTGCAGAGTCGCTGTAATGAATGCTGATCGTAGCCTTTATCACTGGAGACAGAAGCCTGATGTTTGTGTTTTTTGTCCAGCATGAAAGAAATCTTTCTCTGGAACAAAAGTGAATGACACCCTGCCAAGAGTTATGTTCTCTCTTTTATAAACAAACATGTTTACGTTTTTGTTGGTGCTGCTGTTCATGTTCAGGGATCAGTAAAATGTCTCAGGTCGACTCTGACAGAGTTTAATATGCAGCTAACCTGCAGACGCGACATTCCAGAGATCCACCGCAGACCTGAGCTCATACTGCGCTGCAGAATGTGTGGGAAGTAACAGCAACCTTGTGATGATGATCGGTCAATGTGTGTGTGTGTGTGTGTGTGTGTGAGTGTGTGTGGCAGACTGACCTAGAAAAGTGTGAGAGCTGAATCAACACATTTCCATCTTATCAAGTCATTTCTGTCTAAATCAAGTCCTAAAACTGTGTTCTCTTACAAGCAGGGTTCTTAAACATCAAATTAAAATGACCTTTCAAGGACTTTCCAGGCCCAAATCCCTACAATTCAAGGACCCAACTCGACATAGTTTGATAGTTTAACAAGCGTCTTTGGTGATGACACAAGTCCTTAAAATTGACATTTTTTAGCGTCGCTTAAGGTTCGCTTGACGTTCGCTTGCTTGCCGCTGTTAAATCTTTTGTCTTTTGGACTGTTGGTCGTCAGACAAAACAAAGTATTTGAGGAGGTAACTTTGGGCTCCATAATGGCCAATTCCCACTTATTTCTTTCTTATTTGAAAGCCTAAATATTGACCAACCAAAAAAAGAGATTGAAGTCCCCCCCCCAGACATAAGTCTACTGCATCAAACGTCCTGTAGTTGTGATGAAACATCAGCTTTTCTTTCAGGTAAATTTGATCTAAAAAGCAGAATTTCTCTGTTACAAACAAAACAAAAAAATCACTCAAAGTCTCTTCAGGGTCACTGATCTGGTTTCACTTCTACAGGCTGTGAAAAGCAGCAGTAACCCAATAATCCCACTCTGTGTGTGTGTGTGTGTGTGTGTGTGTGTGTGTGTGTGTGTGTGTGTGTGTGTGTGTGTGTGTGTGTGTGTGTGTGTGTGTGTGTGTGTGTGTGTGTGTGTGTGTGTAACACTAGAGGTTGAGAATGAGAGACGAGTCCTTCTGACCACACGGGTTCAGAATGCTGCAGCCGTTTTCTTTATGTAAAGATGCTAAGACTCGTTTACAGAATGCAAGGTGTTTCTTTATATTCTAGTAGTATTCTAACTCCGCTGGCAGATTTGATCCTATAATGAACTTCAGGATCGGCTTCACTCGTCAGGTCCAGAGGTCTCTGCCTGCTGTTCATTGTGTTGAGATGTGCGCTCTGTGTACACTTCAGGGTCCCAGTTTGAGGGTATGAACATATGGTCACCCTGGTGTTTGTCTCCCTGCAAGTCTCTTCTTCTCATCTATTTATGGTCAACAGTCAGAAACGACATCAGAAACCTGGACAGGTGCGTCTGCAACACCTGATCAAAGCAAAAGCCGACATCGAGCCTTTGCAAAGTTTTATGTAAACACACAGCGATGAGAACTCGCCGCTCAAAACCAGTTAAAACATGCAGCAGCAAATCATTCACTTTGTTTATCTGGAAACGCAGCACACGAGCAACCAGATAGTTCAGATCAAGCTGTTCAGGTTTCTTTCTCCCTCTTTGAAGGAACGAACATCATGTCAGATGTGAATCAGATCATTTAAAACTATTATTTACACACAGATTGAGTTCAACTCGCAATTATTATCGTTTTGATCAAGCTGTCTAGAGTCATAAAGGTTTCGCTTTTGTCTCGTTTAGTGAAGTCCGCTGTCACCCGTCTGTCCGCTGTCACCCTACTGTCCGCTGTCACCCGTCTCTCTGCTGTCACCCGTCTCTCCGCTGTCACCCGTCTGTCCACTGTCACCCGTCTCTCTGCTGTCACCCGTCTCTCTGCTGTCACCCGTCTCTCTGCTGTCACCCGTCTGTCCGCTGTCACCCGTCTCTCTGCTGTCACCCGTCTGTCCGCTGTCACCTGTCTCTCTGCTGTCACCCGTCTGTCCGCTGTCACCTGTCTCTCTGCTGTCACCCGTCTGTCCGCTGTCACCCGTCTCTCTGCTGTCACCCGTCTTTCCGCTGTCACCCGTCTCTCCGCTGTCACCCGTCTGTCCGCTGTCACCTGTCTGTCCGCTGTCACCTGTCGCTCTGCTGCCACCTGTCTCTCTGCTGTCACCCGTCTCTCCGCTGTCACCCGTCTGTCCGCTGTCACCCGTCTGTCCGCTGTCACCTGTCGCTCTGCTGCCACCTGTCTGTCTGCTGTCACCCGTCTGTCCGCTGTCACCCGTCTGTCCTCTGTCACCCGTCTGTCCGCTGTCACCCGTCTCTCTGCTGTCACCCGTCTGTCCGCTGTCACCCGTCTCTCTGCTGTCACCCGTCTGTCCGCTGTCACCCGTCTGTCTGCTGTCACCCGTCTGTCCGCTGTCACCTGTCTGTCTGCTGTCACCCGTCTGTCCGCTGTCACCCGTCTGTCTGCTGTCACCTGTCTGTCTGCTGTCACCTGTCTGTCTGCTGTCACCCGTCTGTCCGCTGTCACCCGTCTCTCCGCTGTCACCCGTCTGTCCGCTGTCACCCGTCTGTCTGCTGTCACCCGTCTGTCCGCTGTCACCTGTCTCTCTGCTGTCACCCGTCTGTCTGCTGTCACCCGTCTGTCCGCTGTCACCCGTCTGTCCGCTGTCACCCGTCTCTCGGTCTCGATATTGCCAGTCGATCCTCATCTCCGTGTCTGTTATTGTGCCATGGGACTACAGATGAAAAACAGCCTCTTGGCTAACTCTGGAGCGTTTACAGGAATGTGTTATTAATGTGTACCGTCCCTAACATATAAACCAATAAATACAAATTTAAAAAACGACACCAGAGAACCAGCGGCGACGAAGGCCGACTGCTGTCTCTTGACCAAAACAACGTTGCACCTGAACACACCACAAACATATTTGGATTTTAAAAAGCCAAATATAAACTGGTTCCAGCGTCTCAAAGGTGACAATTTGCTGCTTTTTACTTTTGGGATCTGAACAGCTGAGCCGGACACACCCCAAGTTTAACACCCGGCCCGAGTGGTTTGTCAGTGTTGCCACAGTGTGACAGTGCTGTGATTGGGAGCAGAGAGAGAGAGAGAGGGAGAGGGAGAGAGAGAGAGAGACGCTGTCGGCTACATGAGAAGATGCTTCTGTAGCTGTTCCCATGTTGAGGTTTCATGCTGACGGGGTGTGTCTCTGCTGAACCAACAGATTCAGGGACTCCACCCCTCTGCATTCTTTTTCCTTCTTTTAGTTTTCTCATCTTGAAGGAAACACTTTCATGTTTGACAGAAAGGCTGCACCTCAATCCGGCAATCATTTGGAGAGTTGGCACCAAACAAACTACAGCAAACCACAAAATCATGGTTCCATGATATGGTTCACAAAAAACAGATAAAGGAAGCTTGTTTTGTTAGTTTAGACTTGAACCTGAGCTCCCTTTGTTCCCTTTTCAGCCAACTGTTGTGAAGTCGTTTTCTACCTCTGGTACATGAAACACGCTGAAGCTTTCGTGGTCATAGTCTGCGTGGTTTCATTGGACTGTCGGCACAAATCTAAATCAATCATCAATCAAAAAAGAGATTTCAACTCATCGTGGACTTCAGCACCAATGACTCTTTATTTCACTTGGTCTTGAGTCTACTTCTTTTTCGTTGGGTGTGGTTGTACATTTGACCTCCACACATGCTCTCATATTGAACTGAGTTGGTGGTGAGTTGGTTGTTGATCAATTCATTTCCTGAATCTGCTAATGTTGAGGCTATTTATTGCCAGCAAGTTGACGATCAATTCGCTAGATCCACTTTGTTAGAACCAATCAGACAAAATCCAAACAAGTTACAGAAGAGAACCATGAAGACCTAACTAGTTGGTGCCAGTTACTCTGTAGTTTAAATGGGACTGCATTTGGTGAGGGGAGCATTTTGACTTGTTTAGGACTCGAAACACGGTCAAGTTTAGGTCTTGGTTCTTGACTTGGGACTTGATTGAGGACTTGACTCTCTTGACTTGGGACTTGATTGAGGACTTGTTGGTCTTGAGTTGGGACTTGAGTGCAAACATTTGAGGCGTAAACCTCCCTCTCAGTTTCTCTCATCAACTCGATCAATGTTTTCAGAGAGCGGGATTATCTGCAGCTTGTGGTGACAAGTTTGTGGTTTCAACTAAAGTCATCTACTTCAGCTGTAGGTCACAAGTTTTGTTTTTGTTGAGATTAGTTTTTTTTATGCGTATCCTTAACTTTATTTTGTTTGAGTATGTTTTATATTGGATGACAGAAAGCTGAACTAAACTAAACTAACAAGGCTAAAGTGGAGCACATACTTGTGTGGTTGCCAGGTTCTTCTGAGGGTTTCACCAACAAGAGGGCTTTCATGGGAAGAACTGTAGTGTTAGTGTGTGTGAGTGTGTGAGTGTGTGTGTGTGTGTGTGCGCGCGTGTGTGCGTGTGTGTGTCCTTGCCTCCTCCTCAGCGCTTAGCTCAGGGCTCTTGATCGGACTGGATAAATGGCTGAACACTGACGACTTCCCGCTGGTGCTCTGAAATAAAAGACAAAAAGATGAGTCCGACGCATGACATTAGTTTGAGAAGATGTATAAAATAAACTATGCAAATAAATAAAAATGCTGATTCAGCCTCAACTAAACGTAAATGTCTTTAGTAAAATGAATGGAATGAATGAATATACTTTTTGAATTTGAGAGTTTGCAAACTAAAAGTATAAGTGACGATGTTGGTCAACAACATCCAACTCCACAAAGGTAAATATTGTGCCAGGGATCATACTCACATAAACAAATGCATCATATGTCAAATAATTGAAATGTTTGATGTTGTATTATGTGTTTTTAATTGTGTTAAAAGTCAAGTAACAATACCTGCATGTGTAATATCACAGTCTGTGTTTATGAAGGATATAAAAAAACCTTTGGTGAAGACAAACTGTTTTAAACAGCTGACTGCAGTGTTTCATGTAGCATGGAGGTAGAAAGGTGAGTATGCACAGCAGAGGGAGTGACAATGTGAAGTCAAAAATATCTGTACAAACATGTTTCACTGGTGAGGAATCAACATCAAATCAGAGTCATTTCAAAACACTGCATCATGATCAGAATGAAAGTGACGTGAAGCCGACGGTGACACACAGACGGTTAACTGGAGAGTTCAGTTCACACCAACCAGATCCCTCATTGTAAATGAATGGGCTTTGTGCTTCTTCCTGAAAATGTGCGGAGGATGTTGGAACTTGTTCTCTGGAGAGTGAGCGAAAAACGAAAACTGAATCAAAGCCAATAACATTTAGAAATAAATGAGGAAGTGCATCAGCGTACCGGCCAAATAAAAAGCACCTAAAGCGGATAAACCAATGAAGCGGCTCACATCCTACAATACATCAGTCTTATAAAGATCAAATCTTATCTTTATTGTCAATCAATGTATTGATTCGTGTTCTACTAATTTCATAAATAAAGTCAGAAAATAGTAAAAGGCTTCACAGGCTTCCATAGTCTTAACCAACAAACTATTTACAATGCAGGGCTCAACACTAACTTTTAAAAGTGGTTACCAGACAACCAGACATCAGCTTTTTGGTTTGCCGAAACTGACAATATGGTTTCCATTTTTAGTCACCTAATACTTTGAATTATAAAGATATGTTTGCAGTTATACGTCAGCTTAACAATGAAAATGTGACATGACAACATGACAAATCTCCTTTTCCATTCGTTTGTGATGTTGAACTTTTGAGGTTCCACTTTTAAATATCGCTAATGCAACAAATATTCTAAATGTATGTATTTTGGGGTGCACGTTTTGCTGTTTGCTGTCCCTATTTTTTATATACGTTAAAAAGTGATTGCACTGATGCAAACCAAAGTCCCAAGAATGCAACGTAGCAAACCGGACAATTGTTCTGAAAATCCCAAAAATGAAAGCAGCGATATGCGACATACAGAGCTTTAATATCTCATCAAACAACCATCTACATAAAGACACAGAGGAGTGATGTCTACCTGAGCGTGATCAGAGCTTCGTCTTGCTTTGTTGGGATAGCCGGCTGGCCGCGTGCATGTTAGTGCATGTTAATGCATGTTAGTGCACGTGAGCATGCCCCACTGGTTAGCTCACGGCCAGCATATAACACCATGGAAGTGTAGCGCCCCCCCCTGCCCCCGCAGGTGAACATAAACAACTAAAAAATAGTTTGCATTGTTAGCGCTGTTTGCACCGTTAGCGCTGTTTGCACCGTTAGCTGCGAGCCGCTGTCTCAGGCGTCGCCATGTTGAGAGCCGTTGAGAGGCAATCGAAATACTCCAGACCTTGTATTTTGCACCTTTATGAAGCTGGAGTGTTTTTTGTATAAAGCAATTAAACAACCAATTGCTTCATCGTAACTGTTAATTTTGAGTTTCTCTTTTCAGCACTATTATTAAAAAACATCTCAGATGTCAAAATACTGCATGTAGGGACATTAAAGTAACACTAAAGTTGCTCTTAATCTACAGACATTTACAGACTACTGTTCTGTCGTTTATACAAAAATAAGGGACACCCCTCCAGCCAATCAGAATGAAGCATTCTTACAGGGCGTGGCATCATTTTCAAAGGTAGATACTGAACAAAATAAACCAGGGTAGTCTTGTGTCTCCCGAAGCTCCACACATCTTCCCAGACAATTAGAACCTGCTGTCTCACCTCAGATAATGACCATCTAACTCAGCCAGGTGGACCAATGTGTTTGTGAGGGTGTGCCACCTCAGCAGAGTCAGACCGGGCGTGGCATCGAACGCGCCACACGAGCACAAAGCTCTGACCGCAGTGACTCAAACAGCAGAACTCGTAGTAAATAATTATCAGGACAACAAGCAGAGGGAATCCTGACACATTCTGCTGGACTCAATACTAGAGAGAGATCAAATAACAACCACACAGACAGATTATTCAAAGATCCGAGAGGAAGAAGTGGCAAACTCTGAGGCCTGCTCAGTTCCTGTTGATCGTACTGACAGTACTAGTAGCAACGCCACATGTCTTGGCAGTGACTCAGCGTCTATTAATCAATAAGTCAACTGACAAAAAGACAGGAGTGGCAAGAGATTCTAATTCCTTCAGTGAACGTTGACTTCACATTTAAATATAATAATCAGCACACAATGGAACAAAACTTTGAGCGCAGAACATAATAACAGTTCTTTACATAGTGTAATAACTTATTACATTAAGAGAATATTTTTTAATTATATACTAAAAAAACAATTTTCTTATATACAGAAAAAACAACATTCACTGATCTAAAGACGACAGAGTTGTAATTATGTATGTGTTCTTGTATTTCTGTTTCTCTGTGTTGTGTTTCTGGTTGTAAAATGTTATTCTACACATAACAAAATAAACAATGGGTTCATAGTAAATATGTCTCTGGCATCATGTATTTATTGTTAAGTTAGATGGGCTCCCATTCAAAAAAATAAAATGCCTTAAGTTTCAAAAGAATTGCTAAATATTACACTATGCTCTATTCTATATATATATATATATATATATATATATATATTTAATGAGCCATTCTCAGTTTCACTG